TGAGGGCAGGTGCATCACGGGGCTTCCGAGAGCTGTCTTGCATCGCAGGAGCGCGGGGCAGAGAACTGAAAGGCGAAGGCGGACGGTGCCGGTGAGGGAATAGTTATCAAGGAGGGTGCACGCGTGGACTGGTGTTACTGAGGGCGACGAGAAACGGGTCCGAGCCCGCCGTTCCGTCCGTGTGTATCCTAGGTAGTGCTAAAAGCTGTTGGGAACAGCTTTTACTGTTGTCGCTGTGGAGAACACCTCTGAAAAATGTGCATATAATAGGTGTGCGGAACACCTCCTCAGACAGACAAGCAACGGAGGTGTGTAGAACACCGATTTATATTATACAATTCTTTTAAGTGTGTCCCTTTTCGGTGTTCGAAACACCTTTTCGGGAGCCAGAGGTGTTCTATACACCTTACATCGGCGTATATCCTTCCCACAGTGTTCAGCTGCTTGACATTCCCACGACAAATCCGGAACCCCCTTGTTCCCTTTCTGTCTGCAGGCGTAGCAAGTTTCGTGCAGGGTCGCTGCGACATCCATGTTGCTTCCCAACTTTAGCATATATCCACACGAGGACGACATCGCAACCTTATTAATGTCAACCGTCCGTGCTATCTGACCTCTGCGATCCATGGCTTCTCCCCCGACGCTCGTGATACCGCAAAATAAGACTCCCGGGGCGCTCTTTGATTTCCAAAGTAGGTGCTTTTTCACTAGCATGGGCGAATCCCTCACTTACTTCACTGCTTACCTTAAGATCAACTTCGTGCGTGGAACATATATGCTTCAAGACTCCCACCACAAAGCGGACATTTCGCCTACGGTGACTTTCCCATCCTCAACACAGGCGTTCATGTCAACCCATTTCCCGCCAGACCGGGATTACCCATGACGGCCACGCAGGTATCTGCCCTCCTCTTGGTAAGCTCTCCGAATCCGGTGCATTGCCCACATGAGCTAAAATGTTCGAACGGGCCTAGGTAGCATCGTATATGGACCCACTCGATCTGTTCCACCTCGCACGGTTGTGTAGGCCGATGCATGTCGCCCTCATGAAGAAGGCGAATCGCCACATCTGGAGGGCCGTGCTCAGGAAGTATCCGAGCTTTCCGCCTTGTCCTAGGCATCTCATAGAACCGTACTATGTCTCCCTCATCTATGGCCGAGAATGCCACGTGCGTATATCAAGTCACTACTTCCACTGAGTACGAGCGCTGACATCCCGGCGATGCTCGACAGGCCTGCGGACAGCATTGCGACGAGTTTCAGGCGCGCATGTGGGCAAAGCACGGCTGGCTCCTCTGCGATGTCTGTCTCGAACACAAGTGAGTGTGTGCCTCTGTTAGCTCGTTCTATCTAAATGTGATTTCGACAGCCTCGTCGATGCGGAGGAGCTTCTGAGTATATACGGCAAGGCTATCCCGGACCGACCCACGGGCGTGCAGCTGCCCCCACAGACTCCCCGTGATGCCCTGCGCTTGCTCCTGCCGCTCAGTGAGCTGCGCATAATTTCACATGGCCTTTGCGCGACGCTAATCATGATGAGCAGGCGGCTCTGACTCCAGGGGTAACGTCAAGGTCCACTACTACTACAGACCCGAGGCAGAAACGATCATATGGCAATACATACGCCCCATGGAGGAGCTGCTCCGCCATTCGGGTTCGGAGACTATCCGGAATATGATGTTCGAATCCCGATCTCGCCATGTCCGCCATGTGGAGGAGGTGAGCGCGATAGTATGGAGGGATGGTGTCGCGCATGCTGATATGTGTAGTTCGCGGATGACATCGTGGACTGCTTCAATGCCGACACTGAGTCCTCACTGTTTGACGTTCCAACGTTGAGAGAAAAGTGAGTGTAGCAGTCCACCATCCGCTATATCAGCGTCTGAAAACTTACTCCTCCGTTCAGGATCGTAGATGCGGTGGACATCACGGCGCGCGGATACGAGCTAGAAGATCTCCAAAGGCAGAAACACGCCTTCAGCCATGACAAGTTCCTCGACCAGCTGCTCACGGACGAAGGTGCGATAATTCAAGCCCTGGCGGATGTGTGGCCGCATGCACGCGAGGTTAACCGCCTTTTCAGAGGTGTGGAAGGATGCGGAGCCGCGTATATGGCAGGTCTTGTCCGACAAACGATCCACGCGCATCTCTCGAAAGATTCTTGATGGCGAGGAGGACGTCATCCTCCTTTGTGAGGAGATGCTCGCAGAGATGCCGCTGAGCGAGGAGCAACGCATGCAATTGCCCAACCAGCGTCATATGGCTCTCCCGCATTGTCTGACTCAGCTCCGGCTGGACTGTGACGAGCCGCCGACGCGAGAACAGTTCAAGACGGTTGTACCAGCCCTCAAGGACGCTATCGATGCGTATATAGCTGCGCTCCCCGGCACATTCCTTGTTACTCTCGACCAGTTCTTCGATCGAAACTCGGTGCTTCTGCGCGACACGCCCTACGCTCCGGAGCCGGAGGCAGCGAAGGCGGCCAGACTCCTGGGCACGGCTGCGGCCATGTTTACCTACAGATACTGGACCAAGGACGAAGCCAAAGTCGTGTTGCCCTTCCCCGCCATACACGGGCACTGGCGCACCCACTACCCGCGGTTTGGCTGGGACGTCGTTCCGTCGAAGGAAGTGGCTGGCCACGGAGTGTGCAACCCCGGTGTGTTGCACATGCTGATGCCGTATGCGCCGAGCCTGATGCACCTCAGGGACATGAGGTTCCGGGATGACATTCCTCTGGCAGAGATGGACCAACTCGTGCGGGAGGGGCGCGTTCAATGCGTGTGCAGGATCTCGAGGCTGGCGCACCACCGGGACACCTGGGGATGGGCAAAGCTGGTGCGTTTGTGTCTTATCGTTCTGATTCTGCTTGGTTCTCACTTTGCCTAACGGAAGCTGGCCCATTGCGAATACGAACATTCGCAGTGGATGAGGATTTGGGGAGGTCCGCAGTACGTTATTCCTCTTTTGCCCTCCAGGCGTCCTCCTGACTGGTGACGGCAACGTATGTTTCAGAGCCACTGGTGCGCTGGGAGAACCACTTACCAACCGCCGCCAACGATGGGGGGACGATCACGTCCGAGCAGGCCAAATCGTCCGTTACTACGAAGGCGACGTGCCCGAGCACTTGCGGCATTCAAGGTCGACGCTGCTGGGGGTGGAGAACATATTGCACGCCAATTCCGACCGGCGCCTTCTGGGCTGCAAGATCTGCTACGAGTTGGCTGGAGCACAAGACCGCAGTCAACTCGAAGTTTTCCGGGGAGTGCCCGGGTCGACTGCGTCACGAGAACCTTTGGACATCGCGCATCACTTCCGTGTAAGGTCCGGTAGTATCTCTTCTACGAATCGGGTCCCTTGAACTGATAGCCAGCTCCTGGTCCCGCGATGTAGACATAAGATCAAGAAATTTGTCGCTGAATATCTGCTCTTCGACCCGCCACTCGAAGACATGCGGATGGAAAGTTTTCGGCATATACTCTCAAGAACGTAGGGAAATCTCGACAAGCGCGCACATGTATCGAAATGCTCCCGGCAGCGAACCTTACACCTCTGACCATCGCGCGGCATGTATTCTCTATACATCACTTCATGACGAGCAACCACTGCCGCAGGTTAGACGGCGCCAATGACCACTGATACACATTCGGCGAAGGTTTCCTATGTTTCGCGATCAGCCACATGATGTGCCTTATCGCTCCTGTTGTCACGACTGCGCCGTATTGTTCGTTCCGAGAAGGTATGCGCCTTGCACTCTTCCAGCTGAGAAGCTCGCTCGAGCGCCATAATAACGGTCGGTCGATAGGTAAAGGCATGTATCTATTATCTCATCAATCGCGAGTTCAGTGCAATTGTTAACGTTACGCGCAGAATCTCGTTCTTTCAGGCCATGTGGAGCTCACACGGTACCGCAATCTCTTGTTCTTGAGAGGTATGTGCTACCTGCCTTCACGACCGCTACTCCGTAGCACTGCACGCCCACCATGCATGCGCAAGCTCATCGCCATGAACTGCTTCTCCATCACATCAAGCGACTGTCCCTCGGCGATAGGCACACGACAATTGTGCTCAATTGTGGCGAACACCTATAAGTTCAACAAGAGCCTCATAGATCACCTTCATCATAACGCAACACGCACTCGGCGATACGCGATACGCTCCGCACATATCACGAACTACCAAGGTCGCTGTCGTATCTCTCTCGCACTTCGCACCCATGGCACCCCCACCAATGATCTCCGTGCCAAAGGAGTACAATGCACATGAATTTTATAAATTCAGATGTAGGCGGAAACATGATCGGTACGAAAAATTACTCACTCCTCGAATATTCTACAGTACAGCTGCATGAATGGAACGTGGCCGCATCGAGATTGCCTCCTCGAAACAGACACGGAGAGCACGTCCGAGTCGGAGCTCCCGTCATCAGCATCGAACCCTCAACGCATGCACATCCCGCTGGCCGGGCAATGTCCATGACCGAAACGCAGGTGTCTGTACTCCTCTTGGTATGCTCTTCGAACGAGTGCGTTGAGCGCTTCAGTTAACGAAACTCGAACGGTCCCAGGTTGCGCAATATATGGGCGTCCGCCAGATGTTCCATCTCGCACGTCTGTGCAAGCGAATGCGGACGGCCCTCATGAAGAAGGCGAACCGTCATGTCTGGAAGGCCATGCTCATGAAAGAGCCGTCCGCGCCGCCTTGCCCTAGGCATCTCATCGAACCGCACTACGTTTCCATCATATGCGGCCGGGAATGCAGTGTTAGTCTTCTATCTCACTATAATCATTGATCAGCAGGTTTGACGCTTTGGAGATGCCGGATAGGCCTGCGGAAAGTACTGTGAGGAACACGAAAGGCGTGTATGGGCTCAGGTTGGCTGGGTCCTCTGTGATGATTGCCTCGAACACAAGTGAGTACACGATTATGTACCATTACAACACGGTACCTGATGGCGCCCATTCAGCTTCATCGACGAAGAAACTCTCCTAGGTCTGTATAGTGTCACTATGCCAAACAGGCCCGATGGTGTTCGTCTCCCCCAACGTGACCCGCGAAGCGACCTGCGGCGGTATCTACCGCATCACGCAAATTGTGACTAACACTTATCCTACGTTAGCCTTTGAAGCATTACTCATCACTCTGAACAGTCTATCCCTCTGAGGAAGGAGAGATCGTGGAGACGAACGTCTACTACAGGCCTGAAGCTGAGCTAGTCCTACAGCATTATCTACCCCTTATGGAGTCGGAACTACTGCGTGACCCTACACGGCGATCGTTAAGGAAGGTCCACGCGATGATGGAAGATCAACGTGTCCGCCATGTCAGCCACGTGAATGAGGTGAGCAACTACAACAGGGACAAATGCGATGTCTATTCACTGACCCCTCTGAGTCCATCCAGTTTGCTGATCATTTCTCGATGTGTTTCGAAGTTGCCTCCGAGATCGAAGCGCGGCACGGTCCAGGTGTTTACACTGTGAGACACGAGTAAGCACATCGGTCTGCGTCCTTGCAAGCTACTGACCGAAAGGCACCTTCGTTCTCCGTTTATACAGAATCTTGAGAAGAGTGGATACACAATCTCGCGGCTACGAACTAGAAGACCTGCAGAGGCGCTCCAACCTCCATGACAGTTTTCTCGATCAACCGGTGACGAGTCTCGGCAAGACGTTATCCAACTGTGTTTATATCTGCTCGAGGCTTACTGGTCTTCCAACAGAGGCGTGGACACATGTGCAGCCGAAAATCTGGGAAGTCCTGGCCAACAAACGCGACGAGCGGCTCCGCCAAAAGCTGACTGAAGGCGTGCGCAACATCATCTACTTTTACGAAGAACTGGTGCAGCAGTCGGAGTTGTCCGAGCACCAGCGCGCGTTGCTACCCACCCGGTTTCATGTGGTACGGTTTCCTTGCGTATCGCAACTGCTGCTCGAATGCGAGCAGCCGCCGACAATAGAGCGGATGGAAGCGTTCGTGCCCCACCTGGTGGAAACGGTGCGCAGCTATGGGCTACAGCTACCGGGCATTTTTTGCACCTCGTTCGAAATGTTCCTCGGCCAGCACCAATTCGTCCCGGGCAGCATCTTTACACCGGTGCACGAGTCGGACGAGGTCAAAGCCGCCAGACTTCTTGGCATGGCAGCGGCCTTGTTCACGTACAGAGAAGACTGGGCGAAGAACAAGGATCCAGTCGTGCTGCCGTATCTTGCGATTCACGTGCACTGGCGCACACACCACCCTTCGTATTGGGACGGCTGGGACGTTCGCAAGCCCGAAGGCAACGGTCCGGCTGTGCACGAACCTGGGGTGTTGCACGGGATGGTACCGTATGCCCCAAGCCTACTACATATCAAGGCATTGGGGCTCCCGGACGATATTTCCCTGGACGAGATGGACAATTTTGTGCGCAACGGACAGATCCAGTGCCAGTGCGGGATCTCGAGGCTCGCGCCTTACCGCGGCACGTGGGGATGGGCAGATCTAGTGCGTGCCCGTGCTCCTACTATTCTGACCTTCAAGTACTCACTTTGAACGGAAGCTCGCGCACTGCGCATACGAGGACTTGCAATGGGAGAAGATATGGGCTCGACCACAGTGCGTTGTTCCGTTTCTGCCGTCTGCTCTTAGTGTTTATATTCTCCCAGTACCCGCGGTCACGCAGTGCGGTTATCTTTTACAAGATATAGCCTATGGGCACGCGATCACGGCGTGGGATCTCTGCATTATTACCGAGACGTCAACAAACCACCTGAGTACGAAGCGGATCTGAGAAGCCTATTGAAGGCGCTGCAGAAGGCGCTGCGTGCTGATCCTGGCAAACACCTCTTGGGTTGCAGGCTTTGCTGCGACTTAGTTGGACCTGGGCACGACCGCATTTGTGTCGAAGCCTTCAAAGAAATGGTACCAGAGGTCCGGCTGAACGCCGTTCGGCAGCCGCAAGCTATGGCGCATCACCTCCGTACAAGGTCGGTGCATTTGTGCATGCCTTGGCGCACTTCCTGGCTGACGATCGCGGTGTTTCTTGTCCGTGCAGGCACAGTCTCCGCTCTGTTTCGGACGAATTTCTGGTCTTCAGCGAGTGAACAATTTCTTATCCGCACTCGGACCGGACACCGCAACTACCACAACAATGTTTGAGAAACCTCGAAAAGTGGATCCACGGATTGCATGAACTTATCGCTACGACGATATCCGGCTGTATTTTACATTGTTGATATATAAGGTACTAGAATGGGTACATCACGTAGGGGTGCCGCCTTGGTAGTACCGATATCCTTCGGCCCAGTGTACCCGAATTATAAGCGCCCGCCTTTCGCACAAGCGCCTGCCCGAGTCCGCCTTTGCCTTCAACTTCGTTCAACGTTGTTAACGCCGTAACTTTTGGTCAACTCTTTGAAAAGTTCTTCCCTCTCGTGCTCGGGCCCTTCGAGCAATCCTTGACTACACTCACATCTTGAAATCTCTGGGAACTTTCATGAAGTCGCTGTGGTATCATGGCGCATTTTCTGTTGCCGCGTCATATAACTCTGCTACGAGTTCGCGGGCCACCGCCCACTGAATTTCCGTGCCACATATGCTTACCACACTGCACTATCCAATAGGAACTGCGGGTCATACTACGAATGTGAGTACCTGCTCCGAGTGTACCGGATAAGTACGCCTATACTTCAGCCACCCCGATTAACACTGTACATCCCTCGAAGTAGCGTGGAGGCCGATATACGACCCAATATCTACCCCTCGTACGCAACAGAGACGGAGGCGGAGGACTTGACCTACTGCCGCCACAAGCACACGACCTTGGACTATGGACCGTCGAGAGCGGATTCAGATGCGCTCGAGCTTTCGATATTGCTTGGTCTCTGACAACGAATAATCGTGAAAGGAATTAACGGAGTGTCACTTCGCAGGACAGGGCATTCTCGCACAGTGCTGCCATCATCCCAAAGTAGTCCATGTCACAGTGCTCGTGCGCGCGAGAATCGAACTCGCCCGCGACGCTGGAAGGATGCCAGTTCCCATGACCACGTCTGTTCCACCACATCATACCCACTTGACGACCCTCCCCACGAGTTGAAAAGGGGCGGGGAGTGGCAAGGGCCGATCTCGCGACCCCACAGCACCTATTTGGCGCTGCAAGGACTAGAAGATACATCGCACGAGTCAGACCAGCTGCGTGCGCAGTCCAGGCTTGTCGCACGACAGGAAAGCAGCGGGCCGTGTACGTCTTCCTCTGCGCGCTGCTTGCAGTTGACGATATGCAGACGGTGTCTGACGCCTTTTGCTTCTACTAGTTCTAGAATTACTCACGTTCTCTTCTGAAGCTGCATCATGTCGCCGCGACGAGGGCAGGGTGGGGCCGAGCTATAGCGGAATCTCCAAAGCTTCATGCAAGCGTCCTGCGCGAAGTCTGTAGGATCATCTGCGCTTGCAGATATGCGGCGGATTGGATGCGCCCCGTTAAGCCTTTTTGAGATGAGATAGGCCCACTTCAAGCTTCAAGGCCGGCAGGCCGTCTCCTAAACGTCTTCCGCGCTGAATCTAGTAGATTTCGGGCGAAGATGAGGGGCACACCTCGTGCACGGCTTTTGCGCTAGTGTAAAAGATGTGTCCCCATGCTTCGAGGTATCCGCGCCGCGCGTATGGCTCCAGATATGGGAAGATGGCTGCTCACATGCGTCGCTCGAGGCGACTGTCCATTGGAGTATCGCCTACGGCGAGAGCAAGCAATCTGTCCCTGACATCTCCTATTCGCCGCCCCCCTTCCGTGTTCGCATTCTTCCCCTTGCACCCAGACTGCCCACGCAACTGTGTATGCAGGAGCGCGCAATATATCACCCGCTACGCGTGCAAGCCTTGACTGCGACACCCATCCGAGGACTCAGTCTCTGCCTCGGTCGCAGCCTACGCCGCGCGTGCTGGCCAATCGCCCGGCCCGCCGCTGCGTGCGGACTACGGACTGGCTCGCGGCTTCGGAATCTGTCTAGGCACTAGGGCATGGCGCCCGCGGGCCTTTTCGTACATATAGGAAATATACCGTTTGAAACACGTATTCTAGACGGCTACACGCCCGATCAATAATACCAAACACTTGTCTTCGTCGGTAGTGTCCGGCACGTCGGCGTGGTAGGTAGCGAAATAATGTAACAATATGAAAAGAAGCGTCGAGTCCAGGTCGAGTCCCGCGGCCGCGGCGAGAAGGAGCCTTCGAAATATGGCGGCGGACTAGTGACTACACTACGGCCTGGAAAAGTGTCGTAACACTATATGAACCATGAGAAAGGTTGGGAGAGAAAGACTCGGGAAAAAATGAGCATACCGAGCCCGCTTGCTGCGCGTACGACGAGAGTTGGAAGGCCGGTTCGAATTTGAAGAAGCGATAGGGATCATCTCGAATATATGCGAAGTGTTGTGCTCGTCACGGATCCGTACTGGGCTCGGCAGAGGCAGCAGAAGCGGCGGCTGACTGGAGTCGTCGCTGTCAGGGCCCTGCGGAGTTCGACCGGGTCGCGAGGACCGGCGTCTGGGGTAGGCAGTTGCAGATTCGTGTCAGAACACGAGAAATGCAAAAGAAAACTAAAAGCTACTTGCCTAGCGTCCTGCCAAGACTGATACTTGTACTTGTAGGCATCTTGAGCCAACTTGAGGTTGTTGAGGGACAGCATCATGTCTGCTCCACTGTCGATAAGAGTTTTTCGTCGTTGCAGCTGGGATTTTTTGTATACACGCCAGAAGACACAATCCCAGAATTTTCCAAGTCCGTGGTACAGCTTGTCCTGGGATTGAACGAGTGGAAAAAGAACGAGGTGTTCGCGAGCTAGGCCGTTGATGACGGCGGATAGGCTATCAAGGTGTTCATGCGAGAAATGACGCAGGTCCTTCCGAGGGCCTTCGAGACAGAGGAAGTCAAGGAAATGCTTGAGCCCAGAGAGGACCGCGAACGTCTGGGCGCGTATGACATGGTGATCAGGGGGTCCCGACAGGTCACTCGACGAGAGGATGCATGATGAGCAGGCGAGAAACTCTGGGATAGATTGTAGGTAGCGGAGTTGGGCTTCGAGTCGAGGTAGTATGGCGTCGCAGCTCATCTGGTCTCGAAGTTGCAATGGGTGTGTTGCGAACTGAAACCATCTGAGCGCTTGCCGATGCAGCGAGTAGAAGGTATGACGTGATGGAATGACTGTGTCTGAAGCTTAACAAGTGACCAGTGAGCGATAAGAGCAAGCACTCTGAGGGATGAAGATGCAACTGACCGCTCCAAAGTAGTCCCATCTTGTGGGACGTCATGTCACCCTCCATGGACAGGTCCTGACAGTAGGGTCGCAGTTGAAGTTCTTCTGGCCCGAAGTCAATACGCCAGGGATTTCGTGGAGACCCCCAGGGTATCTTCAACTTCGATGTCTGAGGGTTTAGAACCCGATACTCCAGCCAGGAAGCAGCCTTCTGCAACCACACTGCTCGTAAATCCCGCTGAGCGTTCTCCGACGGGGTGTGATGTCTAGCTAACGCCTGGAGGAAACCGCCGGGAATGTCCTTCCATATCCAAGCATGGTCCTCCCGTGTCCAATGACTTGAGACTAGCGGATCCGATTCATAGTCTTCCTGGAAGAACTTCATCGTATCCAGTTGTATTGCGCAGAGGAGTGATTGGTAAAGAAGAAGCTCGTTGCTAGGGAAGTTCCACAGGGAACGCTTCTTGGCGGTCTCGCGGAATCGTTTGAAGTAGTCGAGAACTCGTATACAGTCTTCACCGAGGAGGCACACAGCTGCGGCGGAGATCGCCTCGCCATCCAGAGTGCAGTCGTAGGCTTGGTTGAGAATATCCAGATCAAGTCTGTCGCTGAGAGAATTTATCATGCGTCTCTCGTGTATGTGCCAGGGAGAGGTTTTCGGAGTGCGAGCGAAGAACAAGGAAGGGGCACGCAATACACGATGGATTATGCGCCAGTGGAGCTTCACGTCGTCGGACATGATTTTCTTGCGGATCGTCCAAAGGAAGTAGGATATGGGTATCGTGATCGAGTAGTGGCCCGCATTTAGAACGAAGTCCTTGAAATGTCGCCAGAGTGAGTACAAGGCGAATGTCTGGGGAGTAAGATACGCGCAGGTGTGATTGAACAACGGCAGGAACGTTACACCGATGGTGATCACGCCAACCACGCCAACCAACACCGACGCGATGATGGCGACCCCGGGATGAAGGGTCCAGATGAGGACCAGGAGTCCTGCAAGGAATAGCCCGAGGGAGATGAGGAGGAGAACCGGGATGAGGATGACGATATCCCCTACACGCCACTTGACGAGGTTGTTTAGGCGATATTGACGCAGTCGCGCCGCCTCGCGGGAGTTTCCCGATAGTCCAAGACTGACAAACTCGTTCAGCCACTGTTTCACCAGGATGCCTAAGAGCGCCGAGGTGAGACTGATGATCAAGCCCGAGAACCAGAGGATGTTGAGCCAAATCGCCGATTGTGGCACTGCAGCGGGCCCACTGGCAGTGTGTGGCGGCGAGGGTCCAGCGGACGACGGCGCGGTGGAGTTGGCGAAGGAGGAATTGATCGCGAAGCTGTGCAGCTGTAGAGAGATCTGCTGCAGGACGGTGACGGGATCGAGGGTGGGCGGCTGAAGCAACGGGTACGACTGGACGTTGAACGCCGTGAGGATCGCCGAGAACAGACCCGCCTACATAACATGCGTGTGTCAGATAATCGGTCGCAAACTGGTGATGCGTGGTGCACATACAAAGACGAGGTAGGTATCAATTACCTTGTTCCACCGCTCCACCATTTCGTCACTGTATGTCTTCACCATGCCCGATACATCGGCCCATGCCTTTTCCTTCTCTTCCTCGGTGTGGAGAGTTTTACGCTCCTCTAGCAGGTCCTGTACAAAAGGGTGTTCTTATTAATAAGTAGTAAGGACCTCCTTCGCTCACGCTACGCACATCTAACTCAATCTGTATAGAAAGCCATTCCAGTCGACCAGGATCTATCGCTCCCGGCGTGTCCATGCACTAGCGCAATGATCAACGTTTGGCTGTGGTATATTGTGGGCGAACCATATAATATGCGCGTACCTCCTTACTCTCTTCAGTGCGGCCCGCAGCAGACTCGGGCGGCTGGGATGAGCCGGGAGGCGGGCTTGTCGCGTTGGTTTCTTGCACAGAATGTTCAGCGACGGATTCCGTATCCCCTTCGGAGGGGGCATGCTGCACGGCGTCAGCCATACTGCCCACAAGCGAGGGCGTTAAGTGAAAATGAAACGAAAGGAGGAGGAGAGGGATGGGAAAGGAGTGCGTGGGACGAGAAACATAAGACGTATGCAAGACAAGAGACTCCGACTTGTTAAAGGCTAAGCGCTGAGTCCGCAAGCAGTGTCCATGTTCCTTGGGCGTCCTAGGATCGTCCCAGAATATCCTGATCGGAATTCGATGGTGACCACTCTTGACATGATTCTTGGTATTTAGACAGACTCCGAAGCGAGGCAGGTGTACTTCTTGTCAGTGTTCGTCAACCTGCACAAGCGACCAACGATTCCGTCGAAGCTAAAGAGCATCTATTTGCAGGATGCAGGCGCAAGCCTGGATCGGCGGTTGCATGCACACCATGAGGGACAACAGGACGACTCTGTAGAGACATTACTCGATGAGTGGCAGTGTATGGCAGCTGGGATATCAACAGCGAAGGCAAGAAATGACAACACCTGCACCACAATAGACAGCGGCTATATTCGCATACAGTGTCACACAGCCTTCACCGCATCTTCCATCCAAGCCCACAGCTTTCGGCCAAGCTCCGGGTCATCAGTCTCCTTCTTCGCACGTCCCACCCGCGCCCACGGGATAAGATACTACAACCGCCCCTCAGCACGCGAGAAACTCGGTTAGAAAATGAACGCACCTGGCCGCCGAGTTGCGCGCCCTGCGGCGTGGTGCCCGCGTATAGCTGCGTAAGCGCACCCATCGGCGCAGGGTACAGGAAGGGTTTCTGCAGATGCGCGTGGTGCACAGGTCAATCAACAACGTCGGTGGCGGTGCAGTACAGGGCACACGTACGAAGAGGCACTGCGTCAACTTCGATCCGTGACGCGCCAGCTCAGTGTCGAGAGTGCCCGGGTGCAGCGACACAGAGACGATGCCCTGATCGGCGTACCGCCGGTGCAGTTCATTAGAAAACACTATGTTGCCCTGTAACACGAAACTCCCGTCAGCGCGCCATTCACGAAAACCGGCGCTCGATGCTCACAAACTTGCTCTGCGAGTACAGCGTCATCGTGGCCAACTTGAGGCGCTTCGGGCCGTCCCGGAAGGTGTCGAAGTCGAGGCTGGACGAGAGGGTGTGTCCCATGGACGATGTGTTCACAACGCGCGCCTTCCCGTCTGGAGACGTCTTTGCCGACGCGATGAGGAGCGGGAGGAGCAGCTGCGTGAGGTAGAAGTGGCCTGCGCATGCAATGCAGCTTCAGCAAGCGAGACGTACTATAGCATACACGCGGGAAGAAACGCACCAATCACGTTGGTGCCGAACTGCAGATCGAACCCGTCCTTCGTGGTCTCCTCGATCGGGGGAATCATGACTCCACCGCTGTTGAAGAGAACATCCAGCCGGCTTTCCTTGCTGAACCACAGTGAGCGTCCGTACAACCTGACGTTCGTAAACGAATTCTGGCGGCATACCTGACAAATTCCGCGGCGGCACGCTTGATCGACTGCAGGTCTGCGAGATCCAGCTGCAGGAACAACGCCTCCTTCCCGGTCTCCTTCCGCAGGTCTTCGATGGCCCCTGCAACTCTCGTCGGATTCCGTCCGCCAATGTATACTTTTGCATTATGATTCAAGAGAGCCTACGGGTCACGATGTCAGTCTACGGACTCGGACTGGTTCAACTTGATCGACGGCTTACCTTCACTGTCTCTTTCCCGATACCTGTATTCCCGCCGGTGACAAGCATGACCTTTCCCGACAGGTCGGGGATATCGTCTACGCCCCATTTCGGCTTGGGCGGGAAGACGTTCGTCAATGTGCTGGACATTGTGTAGGATGATGTGGTGGAACAGAAGAGAAGTGGGTTGCGTCTGCTGGGCAACCGCGTCGCTCGTCTTCTATAGTGCGCAGAGCGAGTCTAGCAGTAGCCCAGAGTGCGCCGCCCCGTTGCCGCCGGGACGCGTACACTGAGGCCGACACTAGCACAGCCCAACACCAGTCCGGCCGCATCTTGCGCAGGGCTACCAGGGGCGGATAACAGGTTCCGAAACACGCGGACGTCGATCTCGCTGCGGATTGTGGGCGTGGAAAGTCGACCCACTCAGTCCAAACGCACCGATATGTTCGACCGCCTAACTCAAGAGTCGCCGCATCTATGCACAGTTGATCAACACGACTAGCGTGGGCACATCAGTGAATTGAATATCAAAGCACGGCGGAACAGCCTACCATATAATGCGCCTGCGGTTACTCAGGACGCTCACTGGTCTTTGTCAGAGGGATCTGTTGCACCTCGGTACTCTCCTTTACAGCGCAATCAACCACTGCACATGTCACCGCCACGTCCTGCACGCTGACACCTACAGATGAGCAGATCATGACGTCGCCCGAGGTCTGCACCTCTTCAATCGACCGTTCTCGCATTATCATCTGCGCGCGCACCTTGGCCTTATAGTCGAACAGCTCCCCCGGTCCCTGTCATGGCGTGTGTGTATAAGTTGTGAGACGTACAGAGTAGGAGAAATTACGCACTAGACAGGTAGCTTCCTGTTCGACTATGACGTCCTCCGTCCGCTTTACCACTATGGTATAGATCTCATGCCTGCGCGCCCATATAGTAGGTCATTTGACCCAGGATAAGAATCCACGCGCACAGTTCACAAGTCGAACAAGCCCAGGTATGCCCTTTTGCGCACGACCTTTGAGAGGAACAACGCATGCGTGTACGAGATTGCCGTGATGAAGTTCATGTTGGACGGTCTCGTGGTAATCCGACTCGCTGGGCTTGGAATACACGTCAGGTAGCACATCGGCTGCTACACGAACAGACGAGAAGGTGGCGGCTAGCAAACGGGAAACGTCTCGTACTCGAGTGCGTTGTGCGGAACATGTCCCATAAACACGCTCCGCAGAACAACTCGTTCATGGGACAGGTTCTGACATAAGTATGTCTACGTACCAGCTGCATTTCTCAGGGCCGTCAACATCCTAGCGTTCACAAACGCCCTCACGCCTCCCGAATGCTCGTCGAAACCGATGGTCCTTGCCGGTGTGCCCTTCTCTTTGATATCTTTCGGCGCATTCGCAGAAGGCATTGAAACGACGCTGCATGGTCGTCCTCACTAACGATAGCAACGGCATAAACAGCTTTGTGTGGTGCTCCATTGGTGTCGCCGTCCGGTGTCGTTAGTGGTTACTCGGGTGCCGCTCGAAGAGTCCGGAGAAGAGGTCGACCTTGAGCGCGACGAGCTCGTCGGGCGAGTCCTTTCGCCACATATGCCGCAGAGAGCTAGCAGCAACATGCCATCCGCACAGTAGGAGAGCAAAGAAGGCTGGCTTGGGGCCGTAGCGGATGAACACAAAGAATATGGTGCATGGTGGTGTGGGGACAAGTGGTAGAGAGCTTCGACAAGACAAGCGCTGCGGGCGTGCTCGAGCGCTAGAATCAATGTAGTGTCAGTCCGTATTAGGCAAGCGTAGTGTTAACAGCGCGTCGAAGGTGGAGGTCCGACGAGCATAGCGATCAACAGTTGCTCGAGCCTACACCGCCAAGTGCCAGATATATCCCTGCTATGTGGCGGCATCAAGCGTTAATCAGCCGGTCTCATACCCGGATGACATACTTCATTTACCTACGCGCTAGCTAGAATTCCAGTCTGAGCTTTCCAACCAACCTCAGCTGCGAGATATGTGGCCGCCAGGTATCAATGGCACCCTCCTCCCAGAGATGGGCGTTTGGTACGCGCTTCCTCGTCTCACTGACATCAGCCTCTCTGGCTGTTTCCGAGAACATAGAGGCGGAGCCCCAACCTGCTGACTCAAGTATCGCGACGGGGCTGCCCCCCATCGCCACGTCCTCCTCTTCCTCTTCCATCGTGTTCGCGCCTTCCGCGCCGCCCTCCCTCTTCGCCCCGTCCTCTTCACATCCCGAGCTGTTGCTCTGCGACTTCTGTCGTATCGCTTGGTGCGGGGATCCTACGTAGCGCATATGTTCGACTCCCGAGCTGTTCGCTCCGCGGCTCGCTGCCGTGTCGTTATTCGGGGAATGTGCCATTAAGCACTTATCGTCCACTGCCCCTCTCCCTGGACTATGTGAACGTTTGCGGCGAGGCCGTCTGGCATCTGTGGCGCGCTTTTGCAAGCAGTTTAGTAGCTCCTGGGCATCGGCGCCCATTTAGTAGCTCGTATCGTTGTAGTCACTCTGCTCGCATGTATTATATACCGAATCAATCACCTTGTGGCTTGATCATGTACATTCGGTGTCTACGTGCACCTGCTTCCAAGGCCGATCTGAGCTGCAAAATACGTGATATATAGGTTCAGCAACTCATGGACGCTCGGGCGAGTTTTTGCTGACATCGTGCTGCACCAACATGTAGTGACCGGCTACGACTGACTCCAGCACGCATTTGACAGGTGACGACGGCCCGTAACTGGACCCACGACGGATCCATTTCCGGTGATTTTCTGGATTTTGACTGGCTACCAGGTAGTGGTCGGGTGCCGGCGCTCGGTGGAACACATGCCAAATCCAGGTTACATCTACATGCCAGAATCATGGCGGTGTAGACAGCAAGTAAGGAGCAGCTCAGGGGATGATGCAAAAGCGAAGACATGAAATCGATGGCGGTGCAGACTGCATGTACACCCTGACGTGAGATAAATAATCGCGTTCCCGCGACGTCCGAATACACACATGATCGCATATACAAAATCAAACATCCTTCACCGCGTCTTCCAGCCAGATCCAGAGCGTCCGCCCGAGCTCGACGTTGTCGGTCTCCTTCTTCGCGAGCCCCTCCCGCGCCCACGGAATAAGGTACTACATCCATGTGTCAGCACGCGGTCCAGCATGGCACTCGATGAGATCGCGCAGAAGATGAACGCACCTGCCCGCCGAGACGCGCAGCCTGAGGCATGGTTCCCGCATACAGTTGGGTAAGCGCGCCCATCGGAGCCGGGAACAGCAGGGGTTTCTGCGGATGCGCGCGGTGTGCGGGTCAGTGATCCTGTCCGCAGACTGTGTAGCGTGACCTGAGGGTGCACGTACGGAGAGGAGCGTCGTTATCTTCGACCCGTTCCGCTGCAGCTCGGTCTTCAAGTTGCCCGGGTTAAGGGATGTGGAGACGATGCCCTGGTTCCCGTACCTCCGGTGCAGCTCGTTCGAGAACACCACCGTGGCCTGCGTTACGATAATATGATCAGTAAGACAGTTTCGCCCTGTAGACCGCGACGTTTGATACTCACAAACTTGCTCTGAGCGTACAACTTCATCGAGCCCGCCTTGAGGCGCTTCGGGCTGTCCCGGTATAGGTCGAAGTCGAGGCCGGACGCCATGTTGTGCGCCCCAGACGACGTGTTCACCACGCGCACCTTCCCATCCGGGGCCGTCTTTGCCGACTCAATTAGGAGCGGAAGCAGTAGCTTTGTGAGATAAAAGTGGCCTGCAGATACAAATTCCATGAGTCGGAGATGCTCATAGCGTGCACGCGAGACGTACCGATCACGTTGGTGCCGAACTGCAAATCAAAACCGTCCTTCGTGGTCTGCTCGATGGGCGGGGTCATGACCCCGCCGCTGTTGAAGAGAACGTCCAGACGGGTTTCCTTGCTACACGAACGAATTATCATTGTCAGATGGCCTGCAATTGGGTCGGGTTTCAGCCTCATACCTGAGGAATTCCGCGACCGCACGTTTGATCGACTGGAGATCGGCGAGGTCCATATGCAGGACCAACGCTACCTTCCCTGTCTCTTTGCGTAGGTCTTCAACGGCTTCCGCGACCCTCTTCGGGTTGCGACCCGCAATCCACACCTTCGCGTTATGGTTCAAGAGTGCCTGCGTACCACAGCGAGTTATTAGGTAAGGGAGGGTGTCGACTCGAACGAGTAACTCACCTTTACGGTTTCCTTCCCAATACCTGCATTGCCGCCTGTGACGAGCATGACCTTGCCCGTTAGATCCGGGATTTCGTCTACGCTCCACGTCGGCTTCGGCGGGAACATGTTGGTCCAAGCGCTAGACATTGTGTCTGAGTGATTGCGGAGGTAGTCGTGGAGTTAGTAGTGGAGGTGGTGGTGAAAAGGTTGAGGGGCGACTTGTGTATCTTGTGCGTCGACCTCGTTCGTCTTCTATACTCCGTAGAGCGAGGCCTGCAGATCCTTGCCGGAGAGACACGTGTGCGGAAGCCGATACTAGCATACCATGCAGCTGCCGGCCATAGTACGCATGGGAATGGCGTACGGAATCCCGAGCTCTCTTGATCTAGATGCAGAGCGTTGTGTCAGGCGGAAAAAAGCTTGAAGAGAAGACAGCCGTCCCGTCATGATAGCTCCGCAGCCTTGGTGTGGGCCGCGATCGTGAGGTTACAGCCACTCGTAGTTCCAAGTGCACCGGTACTTTGATGCAACCCTAGACCACCCACGTAAGTGAGCGGAACATTGAGGTACAAGATGCGCACCTACCTCTTGAGAAGCAGATGTTCCATCGTGTATCATACAAAAGCACCCTTGCATCGCCAATCTGTGCTATGTCTCATTCATTCATGAGTCATCACCGCGGGATCATCGCCAACGTTGCATAATGGACGTTACGAATTGGCTGAAACCTTCGTGGCTTCGAAGTTGATGCCTATACATATGCTCTGGTGTTTAGGAGCGACGGGGCTGCTGCGCAAAGAACGACTTATCTCCCCCAGGCGGACGCGGGTGACGTTTACACCAACGAAATAACCTTGGTGAAGGTTTTCGTGCACCGGCCTAACCGCTGGCAGTGTCTACTGGGTTCTATTCCTGTGTTGGCGTGCCTGGGCGGGCATTGCGGGAGCGACCGAACACGTGTGTCAGCCTGGCAGTAAGAGGGAGGCCGCGGCGCGACTCGGGTACTTGAGGAAATTCGCCGTGCGTGGCCAAGCAAGATGCCAGTGGTGTGTGTGGTATCGTTTTTGGCGCGTTACTGTACGCAAAGGTTGAAACTTCAAGAAAGGCATGCCATCTGCCGCATCCTAGCTGCTGGTATACTCGATCGGCGGTCGACTCGGGCCCCGAATTTCTTCACCGGCCACCCATTCTTGAAGCCTCACGTCAGTCTTTGCTGGTGCCGCGGGACGTAAATAAGACATACCGAATTTATAAGACGACACAACTCTGCATGCTGTTGTCAGGCTCGCCAAGTTCGTGAAGAGAGTAAGCCCACCTTCCTGTTTTGGATGCCCCGGCGCTTAGATGGTGGACTTGTGGGTTGCGCGAAGAGGACCTGCCATTCGTGCTCCCTCCCCTCCCTCGCTGCGCTCGGGGGGTCCCCCGAACCGGGCGCACTCAGGCGGGCACACTAAAGCCTCGTTCGCGCCTTTAAATTAGACCGGCTCCTCAATCCTCACTTTCCGATTCGCTTCGCGACTTTGTAGAGTCTCAAATATGAAGCAATTCAGAGGCCAATTTTAAGGTATACAAACTGCACAGCGACAGAATACACAATAATGATACAGAGTTGTGTCCGAAGAGCAGATGATCCCCAAAAGTACTTACATCAAGCATCGCCTCCCCGCTTCCTCTTGACCGGCGAACCACCAGATGTGGGACGAGGATCCACAATCGCTTCCACCGCGCAATCTCCGTCCTCGTCCTCGTCATGCTCGTTCCGCGTCCGCTTGCGAGAGCGCGGCTTGGTCTCGCTGCCAGGCGTCGGCGACTCGGGGACCGCCGCGGCGGCTGCCGCCTTTTCCGCGGACGATGGGCACGAGAGACCCTCCACGGGCTCCACCGACTTCGCCTCGTCGTCATCGTCGTCGTCGTCGATGACGATGACCTCGTTCTCGTCCTCTTCCTGCGTGTCCGTCTCAAGAGGTGCGCCATACGGCACGAACTGCACGCGAAGGGGGAGCCTCGTGAGCAACTGGATCGCCTCGTCGCGCGTGAGCTCGTTGAGGTCCTTGTTGTACAACAAGTCGAGAGAGACCGCGTATATGTCTCCCTCTACTGGTGGAGCCGAGATATGTACGTGCGGATGGGCGGGGGCGGTGGCGGTGGGCGCGGGGACGGCGGTGGGAGGGGCAGGGGTGGAAAGTGGAAGGGGCAAGTCCTGTTCATCCGCAGAAGAACTGTTTTCCTGACTCGGAGGGTCCGCCGCTTCGGGAAGCATGGATGAGACAGCATCCACGGTGGCGGGGACGGTGGAGGCGGGGGCAGCAGGTGCAGGTGCAGTGATGGCGGGGGCAGCAGGGGCAGGGGCAGTGATGGCGGGGTCATTGGGGGCAGGGGCAGCGGGGTCAGCGGGGGCAGGGGTGGAAAGTGGGAGTGGCGAGTCCTGCACATCCGCAGACGAAGTGTCTTCCTGAGTGTCCGCCGCTTCGGGAGGTGTGGACGAGACAGCATCCGGGGTGGCGGTGGCGGCGACGGAGGTTTCCGGGGCAGCAGCCGTCTTCTTGGACACCTCTGTCCATTCGCCCCACTTCTTCAATTGCACTCTGGGGAAGCAGATGAGAGAATGTGTCACGTCATGAAAGCGGGGCACACGCACTCGTTTTCCTTGTTTAAGTTGCGCATTAAGCCCATGTGGTTGTCCAGCCGCTGATGCTCGCCCCACAGCTCATTTATGTCCGCCTTCTCGTCGTACTCCATGCGGCGTATGACAACGATCTTCCGTTTCGTCATCATGTCCACAACGTGCAGCTGCTTGCGCGCAGCCTCCACCCCCTCGACGACTTTGTCGACCTTCAGCATGACCTTCGTTCCGCGCCCCCGCGGCTTCCTCGCGACACGCCTGGCCGCGCGTTTCGAAGAGGAAGGTGCGGGCGATATGGCTTCCTTTGCGATCTCGGCGTCTTTGAGGTGCCACACGCTGCGAACGACTGCGGTGGCCGCATCTTTCTCCTTAGAGTCGTCGTGCTTCCGCGCAGACATGGTCGCGCTGTCCTCTGCCGACATCTCGGGGTTGGCGAGCCCTCTACCACTTGGCATCTTGGGGATCTTCGGCGGACGCACGGCGCTGCCGGAGGGCAGGGCTTCAATCCTCTCACTCAGCGCAACGAAATTGTGTCTGTACGGCGCGTCAGTCCTGTCATCAGGATACCATAGGGAAGGAGGACGTACCCGATCTGCCGCGCGATCTGTTCTGCATGTGTGCTCATCTTGACCAAGCCTTTGTACGACTCGGCCATGCTGAGGATTTCGGCCCTGAGCTCTTCGTGTGCTGCTTCGAAGCGCTCGACGTAGCGCTGGAAGTTTACGATGTAGCCGTAAAGCACGAGACGGACCGCCTCGACCTCGTCGGCGAGGATGTCGATCGCCTCGTCCGCGGTCTCGCACTGGGACAAATCGACGGGCTCCCCGCGGTGAGCGGCAAAGTGGTGCTGGAGGTTGACGAACTGGGTAGGCTTCAGGGCGGGGTTTTGGAGAACGGCTATCGGAATATCGATGATCTGCCCATCCTCGAGGGTAATTTGTCTCATGTCGGCCAATGAGACAGATATTTCTCGGGCTTGGAGCCGTGTAGAGGATTGGTGGCCTGAGGTGGAGAGTTGAGGGGCGGAGGCTGCGGGCTGAGTGCCATTTGCTGGCTGGGTCGGAGCCGCCGGTGCAGGTTGGGCAGGAGCGGCAGGCTGAGAAGTGGTATCAGGCTGAGCAGAGACGGAAGGCTGAGAAACGGAAGTGGTAGACTGTGCAGAGGACATTGCGGTATAGGTGCAAGTGGTGAAGCTGTGATTGCTAAAGGAGGCGTGGCTGGGAGGGATGGTAGTGGTAGCGGGTCAAGTTGAAGAGGCGTCCGGAAGGAGGGAAAGACGCTTAAGTAGGGGCCAGATGGGACGCTTTGAACGGGGGCACGCCCCAAAACGGACAATGGAAAACTCAAGTCTCAGTGGCACCTTGTCTGCAGCCTCATGCCCGAGTGGCTCACTGATACGGGCTCTTCCCACGTAATGTGGCCCATACGTACTGCGTTCGTAACCCCAAGTTGGCCCTGGTAGACACGGTCAGTGGCGTCGGGGGGTGTGAATGGTCGTACAGGGTGTTGGCGCTCTGTCGCCAACGAGTGAGGTGAGCTCAACTTGCAAAAGGCTGGCTGCACTTGCCATATTCGTCATAGCCGGAGCATACCGAGCCCAGTCTGTTGGATCGGCGCGCTTGACCGTCACCATATGTTGCCTCTAAATGACGATCAACGTATAGCATGAAAGTAGAAGTCATGTTGCACAAGGGGACATCTGGCACGGCGTGGGTATCAAGGTCACTGGTACACACCTTAAATGCGTTTCATTTCAGAGGGCGTCTAACTAAAAGAAGGGCCAAGAGAAACGACGTATCTTGCGTATACTCGTTTACTAGCTAGTCATTAGGCTCCGGGAGATAAATCTCATCGAACCCGTCCGTATGGCGAACACTTCCGTAATCCCATAAGATGTCTCTCTTCTCGAACTCCTTGTCATGCCTGTATGCGTCGATTGTCAGCTCACTTCGCTCGCGCACAAACGAGCGATACGCGGATACTCACCATGCTCGCAAGTGGTAGACAATCCCTTCTGGAGTATTAGGCAGCTGCATCTCGCGGCAACCGTACTTCATGTGTTCCTTCGCAGTGAGACCCTTGCAGATCCGACACACAGGATAGTAGTCTGCATCCGGGCGCTTTGTGAGACGTTCGTCGACTTTCCCGCGTGTCTTGTCATCGATGACTATCGCACGCGACCGCGCGGGAGCAGTGTCTGCACCTTCCGCGAGGAGCTTAATGCAAGGATTGGAATCGGTGAGGACGTGATTCGCTTTCAATATGAGTTTGGGGTTTGCATTCTTCGTACTGCGGAAAATATCAGAATGCGTGTGGCGTTGAGACCAGGGAACGCATACCGCGCCCTTTTGCGCGTAATGTACGCGTGGATATCGGTTTTGACATGCATCAACTGTGAGGTCAATGAACGTAAGCTTCATAGGACGCTTTTAGGCTCACAGCACACGCCTGCTTACCAACTTCGCCCAGTCAAGCTCTTCTGGAGGTGGCAATGCCGGGTCCCCACAGGAGCAATACAGCCGCCCACTCCTCAGTAGGTCATCCAGCTTCTTCATGCGCGTTCCAAGCCGCAGACCCACCGCTTTCAGGATCTCTCCCCCGACCTTGAAGTCTCCGCACACGCCGATGCGATTGCGCAGCTTCGAACTCGACGTGGTGTTCCACACCGTGTCGAATGCGGAACTCCCCCACGCCGTCTGCGGGTGCGCGGCGCGCCAATGCGCATGCAACGCCTCGAACACGAGGGGACCAGTCTGGCACTCGGGCGTCTCCGAGCAGCGGAAGAGCGCGTAGTGCCGCGTGAGAACTTGCTCGGGGGGTAGTTTCGTGAGCGTACTGTTCCACGCATGCCGTTCCGCTTTACACCACGTCCGGTCGCCGATCATCATGACCGCGATCTCCCTTGCACGGGTCTTGTATGCATCCACTTCTTGCCGCACTTGTGTGGCAAGGGCAAGGAAGTCCGCTTCCGCGACGTCGCCCTGGGCATCGTTCTGCTGAGCGAGAGCGAGGAGACTCGGCAGATGGCACGTGTCGAACTCGTTTGGCAATAGACACCGCTGCTCATCGGGAATATCGACGAAGAAGTTGTCGAAGAAACCCGCAATTTGCCCCACGCGATGTGCCACTCTATCGTCGAAGGCCGCGCGCACACGGCGCTCCTTCTCTTCTTGGATGAGTGCTTTGAGCTTGGGCCGGAGGTACTTCCACGCTGCAAACAATTCCAGATTAGCGACTGCGCATATCTTGGATCGCACGAGACGTACTGCTTTCGGTGAGCTCCTTCGGCTGGTCAACCATTTTTGACCACTGGTCGTTCACAGGGAAGTCGCGCTCGTCGTATCCTAGATCTGCCAGTTTCGCTACAATGCTACAGAGACCACTAAGTACGGGAGACATGCAGCCCATCGGGAAATTCGTACCTCGCTTTCCGAACCGCCTTGAGATCATCCTGGTCCTGCTGCTGCCAAACTGCGAAGTCCCTCTCCCAACGCAGGAGAGCGGTTGCATGCTGTAAGGTATCACTTATATCAGGTATCGCATCGCATCGCGGCTGAAGGTCTACCTTGTGTATTCTGACGGCACCGGCCGCGACAAATTCCAGATACTTGCTTATATGCTCGTCTTCGCCCTTTGGGCGCACGGGACGGGTCCATGCAAGCCTTAGCTGCGGCAGGAAGTACAGGTGATCGGGCCTATGGGATAGGGCCTGTTCAAGGTGCTCCGCATACTCGATGTCTGTATGAGAAGCATAGTTGAGCTCGCGAAAAAGAAAGCAGGCGGCGAGAGCAGTGCGTTACCTTTACCAGCTTCGCACGGAACCATCGCCATGATCAGGCGTTGGGCCATTTCTTCGATCCCGTCCTCGGCTAGAATTTCTTCCCCCGTCTGGATACTTTCCAGAGGTGAGAACGTGTGCGAAAGCATGCAAGCGCTGCGCAAGCGACGCACTATATCTTTCGGCACGGCTTGCAAAGCCGCAGACGGATGGCGTAGTCCAGCCAAATTGGACGATTAGAACCCCATAACTGAGATTGGAGGTATGATTGATGAGCCTTCTGAGTTCACGGTAGCGTGGGAAGCCAACCTACGGTGCAAATGCGCTCGAAAAGGAGCGCAGCGTACGCGGGTTCATTCATTTCATCTGGACATGGCGGAAGACCTCTCACGTTCCCAAGACATGATCTCCATACCGACCTGCTCTTCCGGGTCATGAGTAATGTACGGAGAGGCTTCGAGGTCCTCGCGACATTGATGAGGTCGAGCGGGTGCAGGTGGGAGACAATCTGGTGGTAGCGTGACGATCAGACATGAGACGAATAGTGCAAGCATAATTCGTTGCAAACCTCGTAGAAAATGTCCACTGGAGCACGCATCAAGAGATCAAGTCGCCCTGCGGGTCCACGTCCCTTGGCTGTACCAGAGTTTGCTGAACTCGCTCTTTCGCTGGCATTTTTGCGCAGACGTTTTTGCGCCGGTGCTTTACCTCCCATGAGTGTATGCAATCACCAGGTATTCCAGGGAGTTATAATCCTTGCTGACGGATAGCGGGTACGGGTGTGGACGATGGTTCGAAAATTCAAGTTGAGAGGGATGGGAGGGGGAGGACAAACGGTTACGATCCGACAGTGCGTACCTGAAACAACCATGTATACCGCGCCCTATCGCGTCTCAGGTTTTGCCGATCATGCCCTCGCATTCCCTCTCAGCTATATGCAAGAAATCTTTATGACCATACGCTGATTTATAGTGTCTTCCTGGTTGACCCTATTCTCTGGGTGGACCGGGGAGGATTAGCATAATTTACGGCTGCGGCTGCGTGTCATGACAGCGGATAGAACAACTCAATGCGAGTGTAGTAGCGTAGCTCATTCGCAACTCATCCGTACCGACTTTCGTTGTTGCCTGAGTGTGTCAAACATGCGAAATCGATGTGCAAAGTTTCTCATACATGGGGCGAGACATGGAGGGAGGACCCAAAGAAAGAGTGTTAGTGGTTTGTGATAACTTAATACTACGCATATCTACGCATATTGACACAGTCAGTATTACGTAACTGATGCACCCCGTCATGGCTGGCGCAATTGAGTTTGGCCTCGCTCACTCCTTTCCTTCCTTCCATTTCCTTGCACCTGCTTCGGAGTCGTTAGGACAGTACACGATACAGCTGCTGAACTGCTGGGCGTCGCTTACTGCTTACACCACGCTTGCCTGGATCAATAAACTCGGCCGTCCCCGTGGACGCACTTCGAATGGCTCAGGGAAAGCCAGCACACTATTGGCGACAACTCAGGGCTGCTCTGACTGCTGGGCAATGGGATGCTCAATTTCCCGCGAAGGATGTGCACGGCAGGGTGGTCTCATGGTCCGACCTCCTCCGCAAGTTTAATAAACATTGTCCGGGCCACCAGGACGTCGCAGAGCTAGCGTCCCAGACTCACGCGCTATCACTACTGCTTTCAGCCAACTCTTCGGACCTCGATGGCTGTGACGTCGGCGCGCCAGGCGTGCTCGGACTAGGAGATGAGTGCACGCTCGCCGAGGAGCGGATAGAGGAGGGGCTCGCGGGGTATACTACACTCAAGCAGATGGGCGAGAATGGTTCCGATGTACGTGAAGCTGAGTATATCGTCAATGCCACATTTTGACGCGTAATATCATCATTTAAAGTCGGTCAAAGCCGCCTTGGCGTACTACGCGTATGCGCTTCGCCGCTCGTCCGAGTGTCTGGAACATCTTGCGCAAGTGAAAGATCTGTCTGAGGCTCAAGGTCCCGTCTTTCCCTCCGCAACGACCCGCTCGGCCCCTGCGACGCTACAAGTCCCGGGGACCAGCTCTGACACTTCTCTCTCTTCGTCCTGGACAGGCAGCTTCGTCTCCGGGCAGTCGTCTGCCTCCGTCGCGGACATCAATGAAGGTCGAACGTGGTCAACTGTGGAGCAAATCAGATGCGTCTGTCTGAAAGGTACGTGCCTGGTATGCGCACACCCATACCGGCTGAGCTGTGATCTACATAGGCATGTGCTACGAAAGCCTGAATGCGAGCGACACGCAAAGAGCTTTCACGACATATCTCTCCGCCTCCGCCCTCATTGCCAACGTCGTCGCCGAGATTCCCTCCAACGTGCTTTCCACTGCGGCGTCGGCCGATAGCAGCTCCTTCACGCGTTATCGCGAACTTTGGAGGTGGATCGAGCGCGTACTGCGGCGGGGCATAATATTGGGGGCGCGCATCTGCGATGCCTCGCGTACGGACGGCCAGAATGGCGCGCTGTGGACGCTCTTTCAACAGTACCATGCATGCAGCGCTCATTGGGCTCCCCTATTCCGCCCGGAGCAACGGTCAGCTGTCGCCGTCCTACATCTACGCGCACTCATCTTCCAAGCACGCGCCTTGCCCTTGCCGAAACCGAGCTTGGACAGGCCCCACCGGTGGATCAGCACAGTAAGGTCAGTCGTGCAGGAGTATCGGGCAATCCTGAGCGTGAGCACGTCGTTCCCGAAGGCCGGAGAACGGAATACCAAGGTTGAAGACCTTGTTGACCTTTCCGTGGCCGTGTGGGAGGCAGACGGCGCGGTCGGCGAATATGCTGGGTGGGTCATCGACGTACGTACATATACATCTGCCTTGCTGCGAGAACTTACAATCTCACACAGGTGTTATGGTGGGCTACGCGCCTCACGTTCAACTCGTTCAAAGTCTTCCGACACATGAGTCGCCTATTCTATGTGAGCGGAGATCCGGAGCTCGCGAAGCGCACCCTCCGTTTGTACGTGCAGATCGTCAGCAAGGCGCGGGAAGCGAGTATGGCGGAAAAGATGACAGCTACAGCCGAGTCCGATGGCGCGTTCGGCGCGGGCTCAGACATCGACACCGACGAGCAATGGGTGCATACTCTGGTTCAGGGCTCGAGGATGCTGTCGCGACTAGCACTGGCCGAAACAGACCCGGGCAAGGCGGTGGAGAACGCGAAAGAAGCGGGGGACATGCTGGAGAACGCGCGCCTGCGGTTGAAAAGTGACGACAAAGCTCTCGTAGCTAGTGTGGATCTGGCGGCAGCGATCTGGCACATCGTCATGGCATATACGGGTGAGTCCTCCTCAGAGATCGAGAGTGAACGTCAACTCAGACACCCTCCAGAGCAGGACGTCCTCACCCGTAACAAGCGCTTCGAAGAATCGCTCACCCTCCTACATGCGTCCTTGGAGACACTACCCACTGCATCTACCCATCACCATCTAGCGCTGGCGTACCTTCGGCCCGGGGCATCACAAGACATTCAGACCGCTATTGTACACGCACGCGCGGCCGTCGAGGGCGACCATTCCGAAGTTCGGCACTGGCATCTACTCGGCCTCCTACTCACCGCGTCTGGAGACTGGAGAGCAGCGAAGGAAGTACTCGAGATCGGTGCTAGCGTAAGCGAGTCAGAGCTCATGGGTGACGAACCAGAGCAACAGCCGAATGGTGCTACAACCAACGGGGACGTCCCGGATGGCGTACGCGTGCATGATTATGGATCAGTAACGGGAGAAGTCAACGGCGATTCACCAAACGGTGTCTCGGATTCAGAGCCGAACGGGGTTCTTCCACAATCTGCGCGGATACTGCACCAGGACGCTACGGAGCTGCCACCTTCCTGGGTCCTACTGCAACCTCTAGGCGACCGCCCGCCTCCGAACCGACAAGAAGCGTTCGAGCACGCGCTCCAGTTGCGGATGACACAGTTGACGTTGACGGAATTCGTCGAGGGGCCAGAGGGCACGGGTGACAAGTGGGTAGAGGTCTTCCAGTGGTTCTCAGAAAGGCGAGAAGTGGGCGTGGAAGACAGTGAGTCGTCACCGGCCGCACTCTCTCCGTCGCAGCACGCCGACGATACCGCAGGGCGGATGTCCATCGATAGCCGTCGGGCGTCGCAAGAAATCAAGCCTGCCTCCATGATTTCGTCACTGGAGAAGCCCGCCCACAACCCCGCCGTCCGCTCCTCCGGCCTTTTCCCTCCTGTCGAGGAGCAGCCAGAACCCGGTCCGACGCCTTCCCTCGATGTCTCCATACCCATCACGGTCACCCCGGCCTCACCTATGGCACACAGTCCTGCCTTCTCGCAAGACCAGCTCAGCCGACCGAGCTTGAACGGCACTGTGAAGGAGGAACCACAAGGCGAGAAGCGCCTTTCCGTCGAAGACGGACATCGCGGCAAGGGCAAGAAGGTCCGCGAGGTGTTTATCAGCGGTGTGCACAAGAGCCGTGCGCGCGTCACGACGATCTCGAAGAAGATCGGGCACAACGTCGGGCGGCACAACCACCAAGCCGGCGGGCGTATGAAGCGGTCGACGTCTGCCCCAGGTATGTCGCTTTGATCCGGCAGTGTGTTGAGAGAATTACTGATGCAATAGCGGTAGACTTCCGCGCACTGCTCGGCCAGACACCATACCAGGCCTCCTCAATCCACTTACGACAGCACCTCAGTATCTACACGTCACAACAAGACTTGTCGCTTTTGGAAGCCCCGCCACCGCCACCTCCGCCTCCACAACCTTCGAGTGCACCTACCCTCTCGCGAAACAACGCACGGCTAGCGAAAGACCGGCGATTGCTCAGCAATCTGTGGCTCATGTCATCAGCGACCTTCCGCAGACTGGGCAAGATCGAGCAGGCGAGGGGGGCCATCCAGGAGGCGGAGGTCCGCGACGAGTGCAACCCCGCTGTCTGGGTGCAGGTTCGTCGCTTTCGCCGCGCCGTATTCAGCCCAATCCCTGACGTCCTCATACACAGCTCGGGCTGTACTACCTCGCGCTGGACGAAGACCGCAAAGCGCTCGAGGCCTTCCAGAAGGCGCTCTTCATCGCGCCGAGCGACGTGTCCGCGACGATCCACCTCTGCCGCGTGTACCTCGGCGCGCTCCAGGACGGCGCCGGCAAGCCGAAGCCAAAGGCGAGCATCGCGCCCGCAGACAAGGACAACGTCGACCTCGCCGTCGGCCTGCTCTCCGCGCTCACGAAGGGCGAGGGCTGGGACGTGCCCGAGGCGTGGTACTTCCTCGCGAAGATGTACGCGTTGCAGGGTCGGCAGGACCGCGAGCGCGAATGCTTGTGCTTCGCGCTTACGTTGTCGGAGAACAGGCCGCTGCGGGATGCGGGCGTGGCGGTGGGATGGTGTCTGTGAGGACGGGCGTTATGTGCGTGGGTTGGACACGGGTGCTTGGTAGTTGGATACCCTGGGTATAGGATCGGGGGTGATGTGTGGCGGCGCTGGTAGGGAATAGGTTGCGGACGTGCGGTTACCCCACTTGCTGTTAATCCCGTATTGAACTATGGTTTCTAATGAACAATCGAGCGAGTCAATCGTGGTGAGGGGCTGCGCACATTGAGGTCGATACGTTGACTTCGGGTCGTGCATAGTCGGTGGTGGGCTACACACGTTCGGGTTCCAGTTCGAGAGAGAGTATGTGTTATTCTGATATACAAACTGCGCGGTCAACAGGGTATGTTACAAGTCCAATGCGACGGTATCGTGGGGTATCTACACGAGAAAGGTTATACACGCATCTATACAGTATCAGTACACAAGTCCGAGCTTTTTCTCAGCCCTCAGTCGTGACCTCGGGCTCCACACGCGCCTTCTTCGCAGCGCGCTCGTCCGAATCCTCCGCCGCCGCATCCTTGTCCTTCTCGAACTCGTCGCGGGAACGCTTCTTCTCCCACGCGTCGCAGTGCTCCCTTTTCCCAACACGGACCTCATCACCGTCCCGAAGGTAATCGGGAAGGGGGATGACGGACATCCTCACCGTCAGCAGACCCGCGAACTCCGTGTAGTACTCGCGCACGTCCGCGGTGCAGACGCGCTTGTACTGCGGGCGGTCGTCGACCTCAGCCTGCTCGTCTTCAGGCGCGCGCGCGCGTTTCTTGCCTTTGGCGTTCGCGGAGAGGACCTTGGAGGTCTTGTGCCACTTCTTCCATGCGAGCGCCTGCGTCCGATTCTCGGTGTGCAGCTTCTTCAGCTCGGTCATCAGAGGGTCCTCTGGCTCCTTTGGCTCCTCTGGCTTCTTTGGCTCTTCTGGTTCCCCGGGGCCCTCGTCTGGTTCCCCGGGGCCCTCTTCAGCAGGTTCAACCCTGACGCCTGGTTGTCCGCCCTGCGTGGAGGACGACTGCGGAACCATCGGCCCCTGGCTGCGGCGCGCAAAGAGGTCCTGCAGCACGGGCTTCGGCGTTCCCAGCGCCCGGATTTTCATCGGCAGCGGCGGCCCCGCATCGGTCGCGCGCGAGGGGCCGGCGCGGGGAGGGGTCTGTGGGGCGGCCTGGGGGAACTGCGCCGCCGCCGTCGTGGTCTCCCCTGCAGGCAGGGCGTTGCCGTTCATGTCGAGGTAGACGGCGTCCTGCCTGCTGATGCGCACAGCGACCGGCGGTGGGCGAGGCATGTCTTCCACGGAGCCGTGGGTGACGATACCGTTCTCATCCACAGGGATGAGCACGGCGTTCTGGCGCCGGAGACGACGGCCGGGCGGTGGGAGGGGACGCATGGGGCGCGCTGCTTGGGCGTTGTCTCCCGCAGCTAGGGCAGGAGCGGCAGGGACGGGAGCGGCAGGGACGGGAGCGGCAGGGACGGGAGCGGCAGGGACGGGAGCGGCAGGGGCGGGGGCGGCAG